GGAGACGGAACATGGAAGAATATTTCTTCCTGTAGGGCTGGGATGGGGAGCATTTTCCCTTTGTGAAATTTTATGAGAAATTTTTCTCGCACTGTGAGGTCCTGCGGGGATTCCCATCCTTACAAAAATTAAAACAAATATAAATTAAATTTATTTTAAATTTAATTAACCTTTCTAACTCAAACCCAAATCCAAATCCAAACACAAATCCAAACTCAAGTTTAAATTAAATTCACTCAAAATTAAATTTAACCCAATTTTACCTAACCCAACCTAACCCAACCCAACCCAATTCATAAAATTAAATTAACTCAATTCATTCCCCTACTTACATTTAACCTTAACCCTAATTATTTCTCAATTTTCATTTTCACCCTCCCCTTCATTGTTGGTTTAATTTTTGCTTATGTTTTAGTTTAGTTTAGATTAATATTTGTTTATGTTTGAAACAAATTTGTTAATTGTTGGTTTAGTTATTTATGTTAAATTAATTTTTATTTATATTTGGACAATTTATATGTGATTTTATATTTAAAAATTTTAATTAATTGTATTTAAATTTTTAGAATTTTATTAATTATAATTAAATATTAATTAATTATATGTAAAAAATAAAAAAATTTATAATTTAATATTAATTGGTGGGAAATAGGAATCCCACGGGAAACGAGAACGGGACAAAATCTACCCCCATCAAAATCCTCACGGAAATTCCCATCCTTATCATTTGCGGAGACGAAGACGAGAACAAGAATGGACTCTCCAACCCCACGAGACCCCGTTGACATCCCTAGTTGTTAGTTGAAATAACATTATCATTAATTATTATTAATATAAAAAACTTTTACACCCTTATAATAAAAAGTTCAAATAACATTATTATTAGTTATTATTAATATAAAAAACTTTCACGCTTTCGTGACAAAAAATTCAAACATGTGCTCTCCTCATCCCCACAAGTTTGAACCATTTGTTTTAGTACATAAAAAATAAAAAATAAAAAATAAATAAATAAATAAAATTTGTCCTTTTTTTTTTTCCACTACTGAAAAAGGGAAAACCCTCAATCTGATTTTCTCTGAATTCTCATGGAATTCCTTTACAGGTTGATGAATCTTTGAGAGCCGAGGACGTAGAGATTTACTACGACCCAGCAGAGCTATTTTCCGGCCTACTAAAGGGGCCACC